AACAATTTTTTTGATATTAGCAATTTTTAATATTACGAAGAATAAACGAGATATTTAAGAAACAAGATTAAGGTCGAAATTCCCTGAGCGATGATGGCATGCAACACATATCTTTTGATTTTAAAAATTGATCTGCTTACTTTTTTTACATTTATTTTTTAAATACTTTTTATACTCATGAATTGGCAGGAACTATCACTTGTTTTTTTTTTTTCAATATTTCACTTAATTCTTATTATGAAAAGTAAGTATACTTACCTTTATTGTACGTGTCTTTTTAAAATAAAATATTTTTGTTACTTGTCTTTTATACTGTCTTATAGTAGTTGTCTTTTTAGAGTAAAATATTTTTTTATCATATTTTTAGAAACTGCTAAAAAAAATATAAAGAGATATAGAATATATATAGACATGCAATATGCAAATATATATATTCTTTGAAAAATATATATAAAAAAAAAGTTTTTCTTTATATTATCGAACAATAACCATATTACCAAACATTTCTCTCTATATTTTTCAATATCTATTGATTATACCAATAATACACAAAGAGGCATGTGCATCATAATACACATTGAGACATTCTATTAACCCTTTTATCCACATTAAATTGTTAACCGATTATTTTCGATTATTTGAGTCGCTCGAAATTTTCCCAAAACTTTCATTACGTCAAGATACTCCGTTAAAAATATTCATCTCTGTTCTCCGTGTTTTTAACAAAATCAATAGAAAATATTACACCTTTTTCAGATACACAGACGAGGCGCCGCTCGACGACGAAAATGATCAATTATTATACATCCGTGAGCGTGTCGCGTTTAAATTTCAAGAAGCGAATGGATGGATCGATATCGAAAGCCAACAATCATCTCGTGAGGAGCTCGTGGCCAAGACAAAGAGAATCGTCGATCTTTCCGCGCCAAAATTCAAAACTTCTGACGATCGTTATAAGGAATTCTCACAGCAGAGAAGGCTCGATATTCAAAAATTCGGACTTTCGTCTTTTATGGGTGATACACGCGAAAATAACGAGAAGAAGAAAGACGAGAATCGGATACGTTCTTCTAAACACGAAACCGAGAAAGATAGAAAGATTAGCACGTTTACTGTTCAGGCTGGTCCATCGGTGAATATAAAAGGGGAACTGATTACACAAAATTTGGAAAATATTCATATATCACCGGATTCTTCTTTTGTGCAAGAGAATCCAAATGTTGGGACTTATATGATTTGTCATGATTTTTGCAAAAGGGATGGATTCTCTCCTAGAAAGAAGGAGAAAGTTGTGAGGATATCGGATGATAATAGTGGTAATAGTAAAAATAGTATGAGATCGACGAATGGGAAATCAAAGAAAGGAAGCTCGAAAGATGGCGATGAGATTGGTAATGGAGCAGAAATTTCTGAAAAATTGGAGAGGACAGATATTATGTCGAAAGAGTGTTCCAGCGTTTTCGTGGAAAATAATGAAAAATTAATCGAAAATAAAACAGAGGAATCGTTGATGAAGAATCTTGAGAAAAAAGAAAATCTTGAATCAACGATGAATCTTAAATTAACACAATCCATTAACGATAAATCAATACAGAAAATTTCAAATCTTAAATCGGAGAATGAAACTGTGGAAGAAGAAGCAGACAATTCAAAAATATCTTTCAAAAATGATCAGAAACAAATACGATTCGATGAACAGATCTCGAAAACGAGAAATCGTGAAAAGGAAAAGGAAATATGTTCAAATTTGAAACAAGATTCAACTTTAACGCGTATTTTAGAAGATAATAACGAGAAATTTAAATATTCTTTATCTTTGGCAGATTCTAAAATAAACGATGAATTACCATTACCAAGTAACATAATTGAAGAAATATACAAGATCAACAAGAAAAGACACAAAGAGATTTGTGAAAAACGAAAAACGGAGAAAGAGGAAGAACGGTACAAGGAGATAGATAAACGTTTCAGTAATATCGTTAAAAAATATTGCGACAAAGATGAGAAACTCGAAAAGTCGCAAATTGATAAAGAAAATTCTGATCACATTTTGTCTCTGAGTATAATTTCCTCGGAAGATTCAGAAGGATCGGATGAACTTTATACCCTGTACGAGCCTGCTGTAGAGGAACTGGATGGTGTTTTATCCTCTTATAATAAAATAATCGACAATATCGTTCAATCCACGAAAACGATCGATAAATTTCTTTCGCGACCGGAACTTGAGGAATATCAAGTAGATGATACAACAACGATAAAAACCAGTAAAAAATTGATTGATCCTGTATCATTGAGCAAAGAAAAAATTTATAAAAAAAGGAAATGCTCAGCTGAATCGAGAACCAAACAAAGCACGGTATCGAAGATAAAAAACTCAATAATTAAAGATCGATTACCAGGGGCGAATAAAAATATTAGCAAGGAATGGGATGTGAATAAAATGAAACGGGTTAAAAGTACAATATTTACAAAAAAAGATCACGATTCGAAAAAAAAATATGCTGTTCCAAAAATCTCGAATAAATTTCCAACAAGATTGAACTCGTTAATGAAAGATCGATTGAGCGTTTGGAAGAAATTCCCGCAAGAAGAAACGTCTGAATCTAACGAAGATATTAGCAAAGATGGGAAAACAATAGGAATTAATGCCTCAAAACAAATTCCTCGTCACAAAACACGTTTATTTCGAATTGTAAACGATAGCTCGAATCTTACCACTTCCTCTAACTATCCTCAATCCTCCAGTATTGACACGAAAAACGGAAATGACACGAGAATAATGGAAGAAATCTCAAAATCGTTGATCAATGACGAGATTCGCGAAAAGACAACAATTTTGAAGATAAACTCGTTGAAAGATGATGATAAAGATGATGAGGTTGAAGAAGGAAATTTTGAAACGTTGCAAAATATTGTTTATTCGGATATTTTGAAACAGGTTGTACCGAAAGCGAGATGCTCGAGAAATTTAATCGCACGCGTTCTTCGTGAAGAAACGCGATTAATAGAAGATAAAATAAAGAATATTTTTAACGTAAATGAGATCGTACCATTGATACTGAAAAACTTGAAAAGTGACGAGACGAATTTTGAGAATTTGAAATTGTTAATTGTCGAAGATTCGAATAATGTAGGTTCAAATGAAATTCAAATAGCACAAATAGTTGAAGAAACGGAATCGAATGACGAGAAAATGAGATGTGAAAAGCAAGATTTGCAATTAAAACATCTGCCAAGTGAAGGAAATTTTAGCGCGGTTGAAACTATTAAATATTACGGAGATATTATGAGAGAAAATATTTTGAATAAATCTGATGGAAAAAATTCTATTCTCATTGAATCAATTCCTAATTCGGAAGATGAATTAAAATGTAATCAAAGTATATCGCAATCTAAAAACGAAAATATTCGAGACGAAGAAGTAGATAAAATAAATTTCAATATTGATTTAAAAAAAAACGCAGAAACTGATAATATAAATAATATTTCTAAAAAAAATAATGAAAATATTATTTCGAAGGATATTGATATACAAAGAAAGGAAATCAATAATGAAAATTTAATTTCTACAAAAACTGTATCGAACATTGTTAATGAATCAAATGAAAATAAAAAATATAATGCAATGTATGTAAATGAAAAAATAAATTTGCGTAATGAAGATACAAATTTAAATGGCATTAATAAAATATCATTGATAATAAATGATGAAAAAACTGAAAATGTTAAACATAATTTAATACAGGATTTTGAAATTTCTGATAAAAGTTCTGATTTAAAAAAAAAAAAATCTGTCGAATTACATTCTATTAAGGACACAGAGAAAAATGATAAACAATTTGATAATAATTTTTCACAGGTTTCATCATCTAATTCTTTGCATAATTGCATATCACTTCGATCTTCGTCAAAAAATCTTTCGAAAACGTCATCGAATAATCCAGAATTTTCACAGAATATGAACGAATTTAGGCACATTGTTGAATCGAGTGTCGTAATCGATGATAAAATAAGAAATAATTTTTCATATAATCTATTGGAAAAGAAAAAGATTTTATCGAATGTGTATGATGATCTAGAGAAAAAATTTTCTTCTACATATATCGATACCAATTACTCGAATTTATTCAATCAAGAATATAGGTAAACAATAATAATCATATAAATTTTTAATATCGTTTTTTAAATACAAATTTCTTTTTTATTATTTCAATCATTATTATATTTAAAATTATTTTGATTAATTAAAAAAAACTATTATAAAAATATTATTAATTATTATTATTTAAAAAAAATTTTTTCTGAATGTTTAGATTATCTAATGGTATATCTAGCATATCTACGATAGATTCAAATAAGGTAAGAAAAATTGATTTAATTATTCAATTAATCGAGAAAAATAAATTAGTTCATTTTTATTAATTTTCAATTTTGTTCATATGCAAAAAAATTTTTTAATTTTTTATTAATTATTAATTTGCTATTAATTGCATTTTATTGTTTTAGATCGAAATTTTATCCGATATTTCACGATCTGAAGGAGAATTATACATGCCAAGTTCCAGTTCATATTCTCTTGGAGAAGTTCGAATGTTGACAAAAAATCAATCAGATGGAAAAAACACGGTTGATTTTGACAAAAACGATCCTATTTACATTACAAAAGAAATGTTAACTTCTTGGAATGAATCTTCAAAAGTAAAATAATTTATAAATTAAATACTATATATAAAATAATTATATAAATTGAAAATAAGAAATTAAATTATTTAAATTTAAATGTTATTATAATATTATAAATCTTCATTAAAAAAAAGTAAATTTTAATTTCATTATATTTTTAATTATACTATTTTATTAATTTATTTTTAGTCTCTTACACAAAGCATAGGAGAAATTTAAAATTGCTGATTTGATCAAAAATCCGTCATGCTACATTCATCATCAATATGAAGTATATTGCAAATATTGCAATTGAAGATGCAACGGCGGTGACATATTCTGTAATATTTATGACTTCAAAGAATCAATAAATACATGATGAAAAATATTACTAAAATATTGTAAATAGAATTATAATTTTAGATAATTATATTATATATTGAATTATTATAAGTTTCGTGTAATTAAGCATAAATAATGTGGAATGTGCTTGTCATTGTAATATCGCTAACCTGTGATCATTTATCATATATTTTAAAATAAATAACAATAATTCTATTTGTGCATGAAGTTTAAATTTCAGAAAATGAATATCCTTTACAAACCGAATATAAAATGTATACAACCAGAGAAAGTACAATAATATTGTAAACGAATATTTTTTAAACGGTTCAAACATAACCTTACATTTTGGAAAAAATATGAAATTAGTTGATATAAGAATCTCGTAGAAAACATATTAATAAAGTATAGCATACTTAAGAAGATTGTTAAAATAATGTACTGTATACGCTTTAATGGATAAAAATTATATTCTATATAAGAAAACAACACGAAAAAAAATGTGCGACAAGTATGTCATTGGTTACTCAATATCTGAAAAAAAGCGACAAAAATTTAATTGGAATGATTTTTGTAGTGTTTGTGAATCTGAAGGTTTTCTATTAAAAATGGTAATTACTTTTTAAATTTTTCTATATTATTATTAGAAAATTATACTACATAAACTAATGTGAGGTTATGTACGTTCATTTTTTATGTAATATTTTATATTCGATTATAATATTTTAAAACTGATGCTTTAATTTCAGATTGATATAAATTCTGATCTTGAACCTCAGGGACCATTTCATGTTTTTATATACAAAATGACAGATAAACTAGCACATGCTGAATATGGTGATCAAAATGTATGAACAAATTTTTTTTACATTTATTATAAAAAGCACTGTAACAATTAATTATAATTAATTGTATATAATTATATTTTTTAGGCCAAAGCAATTATTTCAAAAATGAAAGAATACTTCTGCCAACATCCTGAAATAATAGTTATTGATCCTTTGGATAATATTAGTATTTTAATAAATCGTTATAAATCTTATGAAATCTTGCAAGAACAGTTACAACTCAATGGTAAATGAAAATTTATAATTTAAAATATAATTTTATTGACAAATAATTTGATAAAAAAAATTAAATTTAAATTATAGATTTTAACCTGTATATTTGTTTTTTAGAAGTATTTACTCCAAGGTTTATAGAAATTAAAAGTAAAAATACTGTTGAAAATATATCATTGTTAAAAATGGCAGGTATTAAATTTCCATTTCTTTGTAAACCACTTGTCGCTCAGGGTTCAAATGATGCACATAAGGTATTTTATTAAATATATTCACATATTAAGAAATATGTTTTATAAAAATTAATAGTAAGTATTTTTTTATAGATGATGGTAATTTTTAATGAACAGGGTGTACAAGATTGTCAGCCTCCTTGTGTAGCCCAAGAATTTGTCAACCATAATGCAATCCTTTATAAAATATATATAGTTGGAGAAAACTTTCATGTAGTTGAAAGACCTAGTTTCAAAAATTTTTATGAAAAAGACTGTACTGCATTAAATACAATATTTTTTAGTTCTCATGATATATGTAAGAGCGGTTCCAAATCTAAATGGTCAATTCTTACGGAAGAAGACATTCCAATGACAGTAAAACCAAAATATGAAATATTAAAAAAAATTGTCAAAAGAGTTACAGATCTTTTTGGATTACTTTTGGTTGGTGTAGATGTTGTTATTGAAAATCATACTGGAAAATATGCAATTATAGATGTAAATATGTTTCCTGGATATGATAGTTATCCTAATTTTTTTCAACAATTAATAAGTTGCATTAAAAAATTATCAATTGAACACAGAGATATACAACAACATTTTAAAAGTTATACATTAAAGAAATGTTTAAGTGATGATTTAGATTCCGGTTTTGAAAGTGATGAAAAAAAAAAATATTCTACAAAGACAAATAAATAATAACGAATAACGAATAAATTAAAAGGATTAATAATTATATCAAACTGATATTACAATTCACTATATTGTAACAAGTACAAAGCGATATAATTTGAAAAAATAATATAAACTTTTTTTTTATAATAGCTTAAAATTTTGCCTTCAGAGGCATTTAAAACTTATAGCAGATCTGCGTTTTTATAACTAGAATTACTTGCTTCTTTACAAAAATTTTTTGATTGTTTGTTTATAGTATAAGCTGGAAAAGAATTAATTTTGTTTACTATCTACATCGAAATTTTTTAATAAATTAGTCTGTTGTGGTAAGAAACGCATGACTGCCAAAGAATATTTTATACTTTTCACTTATATACTATATTTGCATAAGTGGTTGAATAAACAACATCTGGGATTAATGTATGTAATGTATGTTTATAAATTTACATTTTCATTGTGAAATATAAAACTGTACATTAAAAATATTAAAAATATAATAAAAGGGTTACTGAATACTATATTTTTTTTCTTTAAACAACATTTTCATTTTAAAATAAAGTTGCTTATTTTATTTTAAAATTATTAAAAAAGTTAAATCTCAATTTTTTAACTATTTAACTATTTATTATTTATTTAAGTTATTAACTATTTAATAAATTAACTTGGTTAATTTATTAATCAATCTTTGTTTATATTTTCATTTACTCATTATTTTATTTACATATTAAAAGACAAAAATTTATTTTTTATTTACAAAAAAAAATTTTTTTCCGAAAATAATTTTTTAACTATTAAAATCTAATTGATTATTTTCATTTTTTTCACTAATTTCTTTATTTTTTATCCAAGCCTTAGCAGATGCCAAAAATTTAAGATTAGGTCTCTGTGATTCGTCTTCTGGAAATACGAAATCAAATACTTCTTCCCAACCATCATCGCTCTAGAAATAAAAATTTCAAATATTTTAAAAAAATATTTCTTAAAATAATTTTTAAATAATATAATAAATTTTTTTACTCCATCTTCTCCAACGATACGTCTTCTACGTTTAATTCGTCGAGGCATTTTTTCCATAATTTTAGCTCGAGTTTCATCATCTCCTTTTTCATTTTCAAAATCTCTCCATGCTTCTAAAAGTAATGCTCTGCTTTCTTTATCACCATTCTGTCTAAGAGCATCATTTCCACGTTCAAAGATTCTTCTTGCCAATACAACATTATCAAAATCATCCTCACTTGTTGAATTTGCTAATTCAAATTTAGCATATGCTATCCATACCTAAATATAATTTATACTTCATAATATAAAATAAATTTTTATAAAATCCATTTTATATTGTAATAAACTTACTTTAACATGAAGTGTACGTTCTAATAATCTTTCAAATAATTGTCTTGCATTTTCTGTTTCATCTTGTGATATTTCAAAATCAATATATGATTTCCATAGAAGTTCTGGCATATCCAATCTACAAAATTAAAATAATAATATAATACAATATAATAGGAATTTATTAAAAAAAATGATTTTTAAATAATTTTTTAAATATTAACCTTGATTGTGATATAGCTAATTCGTAAATAGCTCGTGCTCGTTCCACATCACCTAAGAGTGTTTCTAATTCTGCAAACTGAATAAAATATTAATAAATAATTTTTAATTATCTATTGCATATAGTGTTTGTAAAATTATAATAAATAATAAATTATTTAAATTTGTATACTTTCATCCATGTAGTGCAATTCTCTGGTCCAAATTCAAGAAATTTTTCATATAAAATTCTACATCTATCAAATTCTCTCAATTGTATTTCTAAATCAATATAACCACGATATAATTTATCTCTGGGACAAATACCTAATGCCATACCCTATAATCAGTTAAAATAAAATTATTATTATTTTTTTAAAGAAATTATTAAGTTTCATAAGTGTTTTAAATTATTACTTACTAATGTTTTTCTAGCTGCTATTAAATTTTTTTGTCTTATTTCAAAATTAGCATAATATAACCAAATTTTAGAGAAAGTAAAATGTTTGTGAGGAATTAATTCTAAACAAGCTCTGAAAAAAATATAAATATATTCATCAATCAAGTTATATATAATCAAGTTATCAATTTTAATAAAAAAATATTAATTACCTGTAGACTTGTCTACATCTTTCTATATCTTCAGTATCAAGTTCTTCAAAAAGAGCATAATTTATCCAAAGATAAATGTACCTTCTCCAAAATTGTTTTTCCTAAAATAAGATATATTTGTAATAATATATCTATTTAAAATATTATTTTCGATAGTAATCTCTTACTTTAGTTGGAGGTACATTAGCTACTGCGCGTTCATAAGTTTCTCTAATAATATCTATATTTCCTTCTGATTCTACTAATCTTAAATAATCAAACCAGGCATCATAATTAGAAGGATTTTCTTTTACTTCTTGCTCATACTGATATTTTCGTTTACTTACTATTACATCTTCAATACCTATAAATAAAAATATATATATATATATATAAAATAAATATATATATATTAAAATACCTGAACGATCTCCATATTTCTTTTCATGTATTGTATATGCTTTATAAATTTCTTGTGTTTTTTCTTTTGGGATATGATCTAATGCATATTTATAAATTACTCTAGCTCGATCATGCTATAACAAAAATACATATATAATATGAGATGCATTAAATATTATCATTGGATATTATAATAAAATAATCATAATATAATCTCTTTACTTCTCTTTGCCCTTCTTCAAACTTTGCAAATGCAATAAATAATCTTTCATCTAAATTTTCGTCACCATAAAAATCAATAGCACGTTCATAAACATTGCGAGCACCATTAATAAAACCATGAGATTCTTCAAATCGAGCATATTTTATCCAATGCTTAACTTCGGGATGAACCATTACAAATCGTTCGTAAATTTGTCTAGCTCTTTGTATTTCTTTATATCTTAATTCAAATTTAATGTAAGTTTGCCATGCTTGTTCATCAGGTTCCCATTCCATCCATCTTTCAAATACTTGACGTGCTCCTAAATAAATTTTTCAATTATTAAGTTTTTATAGTATATTATTTTAAATTAAAAATATAAGAAAGAAATTTACCTGCAATATTTTCTAACATTTCTTCCATATAAGTATATTTATACCAAAATTGATTTGCTCTTGGTAATATAGTAACAGCACGATCCCACAAATTTCTAGCATGATTTACCTGACGATTTCGCATTTCCATTTCTGTATATTTGAGCCATAATGTAATATTTCTATGATCAACATCTAAAGCACGTTCATATATAGATCTGAAATTTATAAGTTCATTACAAAAACTTTTAAAATAAGTTCAATTTATCCTTTTTTTTTTATAACATTTTTGAAAGTAACATTGCATTATGTTTTCAAATATTTTATTGTTTTTATTGTTAATATAAAATTTAGAGCATTTTTTATTATTAGAAATATAATATATTAATTATAAATACATAATCATAATGTATAAACACTATGAATCAATAATAAAATTATTTTAAACTAAGAAATAAAGATAATTTTATATTTCATACCGTGCTCGTTGTATTTGTTTTTGACTCTCTTCCCATTGAGCATATTTTATCCAATTTGAGATAACCATACGATTTTTACGAATATTATCTTCAAAAGCCTTACGTTTTCTGTGCTGATAATCAGCTAATTCATGAGGATCAGAGATCTTTTGTTTTGGTGGCTAAAAAGCATGTAAATATTTATTATATATCTTTTAACTTAAATATTAAAATATTAATATTATATTAAATTACATATTATATTAAAATATTTGAAATTTAAAAATTTTTACCGGTGGTAAAATTTCTAAATCCCTTTCTTTAGCTTCTCGTAAAAGTTGTTCTGCTGTTATTTGAATTTCAGCAGGTGCTTTATTTTTAACCTGAAATAAAATAAAATTTAAATAATCTTATATAAAAAATTATTTTAATCAACTATCAGATTATATGATAAATGATAACAATATATAATTAATAAAATATAAAAATTACATACCTTTGCAACTTTTGGCATTTTCTGTGATTTCTCCATAGTGTTTAATTTAATTTTTTTACTTTTTAACAAAATAAATAATTAAAGTAATTAATATATATGATATGATTTATTAAATTATTAAACAAATATAAATATTTCAAAAATATTTTTTATATTTTTACTTATTTCAATTCATATTTCACATTTATGATAAAAAATAACGTATATCACATATTTTTTTTAAATTAATTTCACTTTAAAAATCAAAATCAAATAATATAAAATCAAAATATTATAGCATTATTTTACATAATAAATACATAAATAATGTTTGCAATTATTAAGAGATATTATAGTAAACATACATTAAATGTACAAGTCAAGCATAACTTATCTTATATTCTATAGATTGTGTGTACGATATAATGTTAAATAGTTATTTTAATCTTTTATTATATTCCATTGGCAATCATCTTTTCAATATATTTATTATAATTTGAAAAATATTTTTATTATATATCATATATTTTCATTTTACTTAATTTATAAACAAAAATTAATATTTTTATTTTTTATTAATTTAAATATAGTATACAATTTTAATTCTTTTTTTTTTTAAAGAAATTTCCTTTTCCAAAAGAAGAAATTTTAAGAGAAAAAAAGAAAATTCCTTTTAGTAACTTTATTGTAGTTCAATTGTTAACACTGTAAAGTACTTATGCGCGCGAACATTTTCCTTTTTTGAACACAATGCGCACGATATTGAAAATATGTATCCACAACATTAATGTATTGCTTTTTTAATTGTATGTGCAAATTTATATGAAACAAAGCAAAAATTTAATATTTAATATAATTAAAATTCAAATATAATTCGAATTATAGTGAAAATTGAAACGATTGAAAATCTATTAATTCATTCAAGTTAATTCAAATTTTGAAACAAGTATAAGCGCGTGACTAGTTTTAATAGTGACGTTTGCACGAGATTCGTGACGTTTGTACGACAAACATTTAGTTGAAAACACAAATTGCTGAAATAATAGTATTCATGTGATTTGAATAAAATGTAATCTGAAATGTTTTTAGAAATTATTAATAAATCTACTAAAACGTACTAAAATATAAAAACTATTTGCGAAAATTTTCTTTCACGTGGGTTACTTGAAACAAATGTAGACGAAGGTATTTAAGAAAGAAAAAGATAGAAATAGTATAAGAAGGAGAGGTTAATTCGTGCACGGGAAAGAACCAGAGAAAGAAAGCAAGATATAGAGGAAAAGAGAGGGCACTCAGTGCCGAAGCTTTATCTTTATTATGCGCCGCTGAGTGAATTGTCAAGTGAAATCAGAAATGGCTGCCAACGAGCAACAACGCAAGGTGAGTAGGGAGAAATACATTGTATTTTTCTCGAATTGCGAAGAGCTTTTTGATACGTTTGTGTCAATGGTGAATTTGTAATATTGTTGAGGGATAAATTTAT